ATGGGCAATCGTACGCCTAGCTTAAGATGACAGCATAAACAAAGCAAAGTGGAGACGCACTGTTGAACTCCTATGTTCTTTTTGGAACCAAAGAGAACAATAATAAATAATAGTTATTATAGGCGATGTGTGGTGAATTATGATAGAGGGAAGAGAAATCAATTTAATTTTGTGTATCTTAGTAAGTCATTCGAAAAACAAAGATTTTATGAAATAGGTGTGGGACATGAATTTAGACGTCCGCTTTCTATCTCGTATGTTAGGCGACATAATATAGCTGATAATAATGAGATCAGATCAGAGATTAAGAAGGTAATCAGGGAAAAGTAGTCGATAAATTTGTTACTTTTGTTATATAGACTGAGATCTTTGGGATGCATGCTACGCATACTAAGCCAATGGCTTCTTTGCCAAGCATTTCTGGCCAAGATAGAATTGGGTTGAAAAAGTGTTCCTATGTTACGTGACAATAATTCATGAAGTCTATGAATGTTGTTCTTGGCCATGTGGGGGCGGGGCTACAGGATGACTAGCTGGAATCTACGATAGTCTATGAACCAAAGGCTTAAGACTGTCAATGATATGGGTGGAGATCATTGTCAACAGAGTAGGTGACACGTCAGCTTGATGGGAACATGACTGTACAATGCACGATGCAAGCACATCCATCTAAAAAGTTCCAAACAGGAAGTAACGTGTATCGTTTGTCTCACTACTAGGCTTTATCGATTAAATAACAACAAATTATCCCGAAAGCATGGTTAAAGTCTCGCTTCAAAAAAGACAGCATTTCTGTTAAGTAAAAACCCAATCAACGGCAAATTCAGCACAATTTCAATTAGATGAGATATTAATAGCCTTGAGTATGATATGGGTTTGACTGCTAAAACATTCAATAAGAACGCCTCTACACAAATTTTCAGATACGTCCATCTTGAAGGCATTTTTGATTCATCATCTGAAGACACAAATAAGAAATTTATATGAATTCTTGTACACTATAGATAGCCAAGGAATAAGATAATGTTTCGAAGGTATGTCGTCTTTCTGTTGATATGAGTTCGGTGGTCATTGATAACTATGTTGCACGCAGCAGATATATCGCATAGCATTACCAAAACATTCTTACTGCTGTAACAGAGGAGAAGGCAATAGACTTAATATCGGACCTACTAACTGAGGAAAATCACACCATATATATACATTTTTAGTCACACTTATGGTTCGCTAGCTTTGTGGATGATAAACAGTTCTAATAGGTTACTGATAATCTGAAGGCTAGAACCATTCTGATTGGTCGTTGATTTTCTGGAGGCTGAAACTGTTCTGATTGGTTAATGATCATCTGAAGGTAAAACTCAGACATTATTTCTTAACCACAACGCAAGCTGAATCCGGATTTGCGAAATAAATGTTTCTACTTCTTTAGCCACTGACTTAAAATGCTGTTTTCAATTAAAGCGACTTCTTTCTGCTAATAATTCCTATCAGTAGCACACACCAAACTACGACGTGACTTGTGAATACAGTCTAAACATTTTAGTCCCACAAAACTAGTCGATGGGAATTCTAAAGATAAGGATTTCAACATACAACAATTGTCAATACGCGTTAAGCTAAAGGCGTCTCTTGTAGCTCCAATTGGACTGTTAGACAACACTATGGTATTTGAAACAATGCCTGCTGCGTTAGAGTCTTAGTGGGAACACAGTTTAATCCACTCAAGATTCTAATACATACGGCTGATGAGTCCCAAATATGATGAAACCTACTTCTTGGTTTTTGCTGCCAACCACTATCAATTAAGTAACATCCAACATATATACAGTTTACTCTAGTGCACCTTATTCTACAACTACTGTGAAATCACCAGATCATAAATACTGGGAAGCTGCAGTTTAGAATTTTACGTTTAGATCTTACCAATAACATTCTCAGTCACTTGTATAAATTCACAAGGCTGTTTGGTAGATTTTGAGCCATATTCACTGATTTGCAGACGTCACAACACACTAGATGATAGATATGGATTTACTGCCGAAACATGTATATATATATATATATATGTTACGGATACTCTGAAAGTTAAGCCAGTTATATAACTAATTGTTATTGGTTACGTAAAATCAGACATCTGGCTAACCAATCACAGTTTAATAAACCTTCTGCCTCAGCCAATAATAATATCAGCTTTATTCCAAACAGAATTTTTGGTGCAAATATGGAATTTCATCATGTAGTAGAGAATAACAATTTCATTGGACACTAGTAATTAGTGTGATGTGTCTAGTCCTTTGTTTAGTGCGGACTGAATTCTTTCAGTCAGGTTTGCCACCATTATAAGGAGATCACCGTCACGGTGCACTTTGAATTGTTGATGTTGGCTGGCTGGAGGCAATCGTCAAGAAGCCCAACCTAACCTAGGTTTCATGCTATTTGGCATTCACCAGTCAGCGAGGCGTATATGCAACCGCCTTGAAGGAACTCATGTCGCTTTTGAGATTCGAACCCAGTGCTGCCTGCAGTCAGAGACGTTTTTTTTTTCCTTCACGTTCCCCAGTGGAACATAGGGCTTCAAGCTAATGGCTTGAAGTTTCTGTAGCAGTGTTTATTTTACAGGATGGGGTTGCTAGCCTCATGCCCAACCTTTCCTCTTCACCACTATTATTTCTGGCTCAACGAGGTAAAGGAGTAAGTCGGCCGGGGATCGAACCCCGGACCATGTGCATGGTCGGCGAGCGTCCTAACCGCTATACCACCGACGCACACAGAGACGTTACCGTTGGGCTATTCGAGCTCCTGATTGACCCCCTGTAGGAAGGTAATGGATACTTTTCTTGTACGCTGTTAACTAGTGTGATGTGTCTATTCCTTTGTTTAGTGCCGAATGCCTGTCGATTGCCTCCAACCATCTAATAGTACAGCAGTGCACCTAGCTTTCTCATTACAGAGATAATAATTAAAACAGAGCATTAGCAACGATACTATTTTCCAGTATGAATTATTATTATTGTTTCCTTTAATTCTTAGAGGAACATAGGGCTTCAGCGGTGCGTCTCCATTGCGTTCTGTTCTCTGCTAGAGTCCTCACTTGGCTCCAAGTCTGCCCACACGCTTTCATCTCCTCTTCACATGACCTCCTCCAAGTCACCCTTGCACTGACGACAAACTCGCCGCTTCCATTTCGACCGGGTTCCACACGAGGGCTTGTCCAGTGATGTCACTTGATGGTTTCCTCAGAGTATGGCCAGTCAATCCATCTCCATTTCTTCCTGCCTATTTGTTTCACAATCGGTTCCTTCTGTGTTGGTTTGCTCATTGCCCCAGAGATCCCTGTTGCTGATCTTTTCTGGCCGGCCATCTGATATTGAGTATTGAGCGAAGACAACTGTTAATGAAGATCTGTAGTTTGTTTGAGATGCTCTTTCTGACGCGCTGGCCAAGTCTCTGATCCGTATAGTGAGTAGCACTGACTTCATATTGGATTTGAAAATCCTGATCTTATTTTTGATGCTGAGAGTTGTTGACCTCCACACAGACTTGAGAGTAATGAAAGCTTGTCTTGCTTTCCCGATTCTTGCTTTGATATCCTCGTCAGTTCCGCCTGTAGTTGAGACGATGCTTCCCGGGTAGGTAAAGGAGGTTGTTTCTTTCAGGTTCCTCCCATTTATGCTGATCGTTGTCTGTTGTTGTTGTTCTTGTCCAGGAATCTTCATTACCTCTGTTTTCTCTATGTTCACCTGAAGTCCTATCTTCTCTGGATGCTTCTTCTGCTAACTTGTTGCTTTTCGCTTGCCTATCTTCCAGTTTGTGGGAAATCAGACATATGTCATCGGTGAAGTCCAGATCCTTTCCAGTATGAAAGAAATATAAAATTAGATTAATTAAAAATATTAATAACATTATTATAATGAAACGAAGAAGAAAAACGGCCTTTCACAAAGTGTTTCTGAGTAAGTCAGTAATGCCATGCCTAACGCTTTCTCAACACATAAAACTAGTGCCAAGTAAGGTATTGTCCACTTTTTGTACGTAGTCGTCCAAGCATAAAGTCTTCAACAGTTGCTTCTAGTCCTACCTGATGAGATGTAATGAGAAAGTTGTGTATCGACAGAATCCTCAGAGTCTGGCAAGATAATATATTTGCTAATTTCTTGCAGAGATCCATGTGTCTATCTACAGTAGTATTACCGAGTTTGTACAGCAACACCCTATTCGTCCTACAAACAGCATTTCAGCGCCCTTCGCAGTAAAACAAAGTCTTTCTTAAGTAGCCCGGGAAAGATTAAGATGTGGGGAGCAGTTAAGAAGCATAGGTAGAATACAAGAATTAACAAACTTTTACAGTAAAGATGGAGTGATACCAGGTCCTTACTTAGAATGTTAGGCGAAGTATCTTTCTAAAAGCTAACATGACACGGGAAAATCAGTAGAGATCAGGGGAAATACACAACCTAAAATGTTTAACATTCAACTTTGTTTTAACCCTTGTGTCATCTGTTATAGTGGAACCATGCAAACTAGCCAATTCACTCAGTCACACTAGTGTCAGAAAGGGAAATTAACAACGGTTTTGGAGAGTTTAACTCTCCAGTTGTATAGCCTACAGACACAGTTATTTTAAAATTAGGTGAAAACTGTCATTCAGAAATTAGAACGAAGGAAGCTACCAGTTAAACGTCAGTATTTATTTTACATCGGCTGCAGTTACACTGAGTACACAGAAGTATAAAAGCTTAGAAAAGTACAAAAAAGGTGTCTAAATCAATTCGACTGTCTAGACGTCTTTAACTGGTTTCAGATAGTGACACTTCACCTGAAATTCACCAGTGCGTTGACTTCTATCAAAGTCCATTTACAGTTTCGAGTACTGTTAATTTTGAATTCAGCTGGTCAATCTTTCAGGGACCTATCAAGTGTGTAAAAAGAATTAATGAATTAATTAACCTTCCCTCTAATTTTCTTCTCACTTTTGATTTCTAATAATATTTGCTTTTTAGCCTCCTGAATCTTTAGTTACGAATATGAAGAATTTGGTTGCAAACTTTGTCAGTGAAAGCAGTGAAGATTCCTACAGTACAGCATTGACTTTTATCATGAGAAACGTAAGCTATATGCTATATTTCACCTTGAAAAACGAAACTCACATTTATCCCATATTTCACCTTGATATTTAGTGAAATATCCCTAATTTTGCTAAATGTTTGCCTGACACTTGTCTAAAAAAAACCCAAAATTTCTATGTTTTGTAATTTCATAATCGTGTTTTCTTTCTTTTGTATTTCCCGCTGTTTCTAAGGCGTCAACGCTGATTGGTTAATTAACTTGTTTAAATTAACCAATGATCGCAGTGTTTGTTAAGGTCACTTAGAAGACGAGTATTTAGATTTTTATAAAACTGGTTAACTTTGACTAGTTTGAACAAGGAAAGATAAGACATATTCATATGGTAAAATAAGAGTTCGTTTTATTTGGTGAATTATTGTCGACTTCATACAACCTAAACAATATGGAAATATAATTTAATTCAATTTTAGATTTTCCGGTCGGTTGATTAGATCGAAGTGATCGGTCTCAGGTTGACATTTCGGCTTCTTTTGAAGATGCTTCAATGATGTCTGAGCACGTAATTAGAAGTTAAAAGGTGGATGGTGACTAGCAGTGGGATCCACCAGGACGCTCATTTCGTCCTATCTGGGACTTGTCTGCGAGCTGGATGTACCTGCATTCCACATCCAGGTAACAAGTCCCAAATAGGACGAAATGTGCATCCTGGTTGATTCCACTGCTAGTCACCATCCACCAGTTAATATCGAAACATAAGGTGCGAAGTGTTTGAACATCCTATCTGCTAGGAATCGGTTTAAAATATTGATCACCTTATGATTCATCGTGTGGTGGGTTGACAGTCATTGTCAAATAGTTAACCAATCAGAATGTTTAATTTTTTGAACCTGAGCGAGTCGCCTGCTAATCAGAACAATGTATTTCCACTGCACTAAGCAGATTTTAATGCGGTTATATATATATTTAACGTGCTTTGTCTTCGTCTCATGACGTTTACGTGATTTAGTGAAATGGAAGGTACTATGGATGAATAGACGTATCTAGCGTATCGGTTGAGTTGCACATTGAGTCAGAATTATTATACCCACTTGTAAGTCCACTGGGTCATATAAGCTGTCGACGTGATCATGTGAATAGGTAACAGGTAAAACACAAATTTAAGACGAGTTCATTTCAACTGGTGACATAGACCATAACACTTTCATCACCGTAACATCAAGTTATGGAGAAAAACTATAAATAATATAACTCCAAAATGATGTGAGTAGACAGATAATTCAGTGTTAAAAGGCTAACTGTTTATAGTTTAGAATTAGAAAAGAAGAGGTGACAGCGGATGGGAAAAATTAGAATTTCGCATATAAACAATGATGGAATAAAAACAGGACAAGAGATTGATAGACAGAATGAATTTTAATGAAAATAAAACACATGTAGTTTAGCGAAGAGTCTCTTTTCGCCCGTGACTTCATTTTCTTAGCTGTACAATCACAAATGTATATATGAGTTATTCTGTATGCATGTGTACATTAGGTTTGTCAAACAAAAATAAAATTGGTTATGGTTATTTTAACTAAACAGGTGGAAATTGGTAATTGGAGTTACGTAATACTAAGTCGGTCAAGAAAATTTGGTGTTAATGAAACTGGTGTATAAACAATGATGATGAGTTGTCACAAGCAGATGTTAAAAAGGAGTTACGTAACAATATGAATAGTTTGATGATTGAGTTGTGCTGTAGATACACATAGGAACAAAGTAGAGAATACGAAATTACGTAAGAGCTCTAAATGAATAGAAGAATTATAAGTAATTAAAGAAACAGGCAAAGAAACAAAATTAAGTCATCAAAAATCAACAAAGTTGTTATCATGATAGTAGAAGTGGTTGAGTAATTCTCTTTTGTATGCATAGCTCAAGTTTTTCTGGGTGAATGGCCAGAGTTTCAGCTGTACAAAGAAGACGAAACTGTATTGCCTTTGGTAGGTTATTCTTGACTGTGTTGATTACTTTGATTTCTGTTGACTCAATTTTGTTTCTTTGCCTGTTTCTTTAATTACTTATAATTCTTCTATTCATTTAGAGCTCTTACGTAATTTCGTATTCTCTACTTTGTTCCTATGTGTATCTACAGCACAACTCAATCATCAAACTATTCATATTGTTACGTAACTCCTTTTTAACATCTGCTTGTGACAACTCATCATCATTGTTTATACACCAGTTTCATTAACACCAAATTTTCTTGACCGACTTAGTATTACGTAACTCCAATTACCAATTTCCACCTGTTTAGTTAAAATAACCATAACCAATTTTATTTTTGTTTGACAAACCTAATGTACACATGCATACAGAATAACTCATATATACATTTGTGATTGTACAGCTAAGAAAATGAAGTCACGGGCGAAAAGAGACTCTTCGCTAAACTACATGTGTTTTGTTTTTAATCAATGCCTGAATGAGAATTACTCATGAATTAGAATGTTTTTTCACAAAATATAATGGCGAATTCAAGAAAGTGGCAGTGAAAAGTAAAATTATGACACTGAGAGAAACTTAATGCTGACTGATTTCAACTTTTTTAGTGGAAATCAAAATTAGCCGAAGTGTCACGCAACAAAACCAAGCCTAGAATACTCACAAAGAAAATAATACAGGTATGAGAGCAATGAGAGTTTACTCCCGCTACCTTTCTGTGTACAGCTTTTAGTTTGAAATGTTTTGATAGCAATGGCTTCTGTGAAAGGTAGTGACCAAGGTGTTGTTTTCTATATTGCTTATTTTGGAAGCTCAACTTATTTCAACTGTATGCTTTGTTCCAGTCAGATGTCTGGCAGTTGCACTTGAGAACACTTTGTTAACATTCAGATGCAGACTGTTAGAAGTATGCCCGCAAAATTTAGTAGACGACCTCCACTCAGTGCTTCCAGTTTACCTGACACCGACAATGTGTCTCAGTCAGCTGTTTTGAATGCTGTTTCGATAGTAGAAGCACTCCTGTTGACGATTCGTCTTCTCTCTTATTGCTGTGGTGTTGGTTGCGTTGGGGTTGGCGACTATATCAGTTTCTGTTAGCTCATGGGTTTCGTATGTCTAGCGGTTGATTGAATCACACAAGGTGAAGTTTATGCCTGTTTGCGTGTTTGCTCATGAGATACTCTCAAGTGACTGCTGGGTTTAAGTGTGAACTAACCAATCAAACGAATCAGTTTAATGCATGTGAAGTATTTTGCATAAATCCTTTTTAACTACTCACAATTAACAGTGAATAGTTTATAGTGTTTTGTACAATTTGTTCGGCTTGTTTAGCACAACATCATCATAGATTGATTACACTATTTCAATATTTTACTGCGTTTCAGTTAAACTGTTGCGGTGCAATCAATGGAAGTGATTTCAGTAATTCATCTAAATTTCAAAGGAGCCAAAATGGTAAGTTGATAATACGTGTTCATTTGTTCTCATTTTTTTCTCCGATAGATTATTGATGTTGATTTAAGCAAAATATGAGTCTCCTAATGTTAATTTATGATAAATTTTCATTAGGATGAGTAGTATGAATAGCAAAATGGAAGCAGATAATACTGGAAGAGAATTTATAATGAGTTGAAAGGCTTTCAGTGAAATAAATGTGGACGGAGAACTACTCTTGGTAGACGTCTGTGAAATTAGGGAGTTGGTGACTTCAGGTAGAGTCTAAAAAACACAAAGATATCTCCAAGGAAGCAAGAAATTCCCCTGATGAACACATTGGAAATGAGACAGAATTTATCTCAATCCCAGGAAAATTCAGATGCAGTCTACCTGACTAAAGGTCGAGAAAGCCTTGGAGGAAGTTGTAGAGAGACTACATATTTAACATTCAGATATTGAAGCATGAGACTGCAAAGAATAATTTCACTGAAGTCATCAGGAAAATGTTGGAATCACTTAGCACCATTGACACTAGGAAACCTGTGCGGAAGAACACTGGAACTCTCCTAAACAACATGGAAGGAAATCAGTTTAAACATCTTAGTCAACGGGGAGAAACAACACAAGGAATGCATCTCTGGAGAAACCTGGAACTTCATAGAGAGGAAGGATAATGAAGTAACATATCAATCAGTACACAGGTGAACAGCGAAAAGGAGAAGCTAAGTGCAGCCTACAGAGTACTGAATAGGGGAGTGAATAAAAGTATCAGGAAGGACAAAAGATGATTTTGTAGAACGTTGACACCCAAAAATGACCAGGTGACTATTCAAAGATGAAACCATCGGGAGATATTGGGGGAAACCTACTCACCAAAGAATTAAAACAAGGGACGAACACTCCAAAAGACTCTTGAACCAATAACCACCTACAAATTGTTCAGCAATACCACCGGAAGATGCAGAACTGTTAGCCAACATCGATCCATCGACAAAATTGGAAGTCTGTAAGGTCATAAAGATACTGAAGGCTGGACAAACTCCACGACTGGATATAGAACTCCTGCAAGAGTAATGAAAACAGACGCACAGACATCAGCCAACATGCTCACATCACTACTACGGAATTTCTAGGAGAAAGAAAACGTATTTTCCGACTAGAATAGTGACCGCTTTGTCAAACGCTTAGGAGATGGTAGGGAAACATATTCCTGTCCATTCTAAACAAAATATTAGGCCACATCATCATGGTTAGACTAAGAGATCCCCTGAAGGAAAGAGTTCAACATGAACCATCTATCCAGACTCATGGAAAACAAAGCATGAGTGAATCAAATGACAATACTAAGAATCATCATAAAATAGAGCCTGGAATGGTAGTCAATTGTGTACCACAACTGCAGAGATTTCGAAAAACGACAGCTTCGATATTGAAGTAATTTCGATAATACTGGTTTACCACTACGGAGTGAATCCAATGTATCAGATCTCTTAACACTGACCGCGCTTGCTGCAAAATGATCAAAAGGCCCTGCATTTTTTTCGCTGCCTGTTCAAAAAACCAACCAGAATTGCATGGCAACTCCTAAAATGCCGAAGTAAATGTAACTGATATCGATCAAATAGGAATGATGGCAGTTTGCTGAAACTTCCCATTACAACTCTGCATTATCTAAGTCCTTCTTTGGTAGTCATACATTGCTGCAACACTTCCCGATCACTGCTGGTAGTAAATTTTCCACATTTTCAGAGCTAGACGCAAGAATCTTTAGAGGGATGAACATTTGACCAACAAACTTTATTTCAAGCCTTAAATTTCCTCGGAATTATTATGTCTCTTTTGAATTCACACTATATTTTGATCACTGAGAAACAGTTAACATGAGAATAGGACACAGCATTTTATACAAATGTTTTTGTGACAGTATTTATACCTAGAAATGAGGTGGAGAGTATTAGGTAAGAAAAACAGATTAAAAGATATTAGACGTTTCTATAACAAACTAGTCCTCCTACTCAGTACTACTGTTTCAATGTATCACATTACTTACCTATTTCGAAAAATCTTTACTTTTTTTGGGCACATATAGGTAAACAACTGACGTATCCTGCATTGTGCTGTCAGTCAGATACTTCAAAAACTGGAGAACAAAAGTGTAATTCAACAGTTGATACCTTTCATATTGGTTGTGCCAAGAAAATACATGAAAAGTATCTTCGTCTTACAGACATATTTGCTTATTTAACAATAGTTGTTTATTTCGTCAATGTAAGCTGACACCATAGTCGTATGTTTTGTTTGTTTTTAGTTCATTTTATGAAATTTTATGAATTATCAGTTTCGTCTGTTTATATCTCCACTAAATTATCCTTAAATACTCGGCAGTAAAGACATTGGCTAGTAGTCGCGCTATGTTGTAAACTGCCGGAAGTTGGAATTCATCGGCGATTGGATTGCGTCTTAGTGACTTAATTGTTTACCGGCCCTTCTAATACTGGATTATCCTGGGTTTGAACCGTGGTGGCGGGTGCGTACAGATGGAGAGTCCGACACTACGGCGAAACGGCTATCCATTACTCCTGTAACAACAGAAGACAAGGGCCAGGCAACAGATCGTCTTTTGTGAAAATCAACAGATATTTATAGATTTTTATGAACATTATTATTAGCGTTATTATTAGCGGAGAAACAGCGTCTTCTGATTGGTCGTTTCCTCACTGGAAGTTAATCAGTCATCTCTTTGTTGCCCTTTCTTTGAAGGTCACACCATATATCTGCGAATCATATTCGCCCACGCTAAGTCTGCTGTGATTGGTTGTTGAGTTAGTCTTCGTTTTTGTGTTTTTTCTCATGACCAAGATTTTGGACGCAAACATTGACGTAAATTGATGCATACCAATTTTGGCAATCAGATAGCTATCACCACGTTACTATTATCACCAATACCTGTATTCTTGTATTCTAAGATAATAACTGAATGAATTTCAGAGAGAAACGCCTAAAATAAAAAGTTGTTAAACTTAAAAATATTAATTTTTTAAAATCATTGAACGACTCTGTGTATTCACAATAGATATCAACAACCTATATGTAGACGTAGGACACTATGTTGTATATTAGTATTTGTTCTTTGAATTTCTTGTGAATATGTTTGACTTCAGGAGCACGTGTGGTGAAATAAAAAATGATTCAATGCAAAGACGGACAAGAGAAAGAGACGCTGGGCTCAACTTACACAGCACTGGACAAAAATTGAAGTAGAGTGCTAGGAAGGACAAAAGACAATTCTACGACAACCTGGCTACTGAAGCTGAGAAGGCAGCAGGCAAAACGGACCTGAGGACACTATATCAGATAACCAAGTCTCTATCCGGGAAAAGATCAACACAAGTGAAACCTATAAAGGAGAGCCAAGGGAACCCAATTACCAAGGAAGAAAGACAGATTAAACAATGCGCGGACCACTTCAAAGGACTATTGAACAGACCACCACCTGCAACACGTCCAGAAATACCAACAAGACCACGTACACAACTGCAAGTTGACACCAATCCTCCAACGAAAACTGAAGTCTCGAATGCAATCAAGCTTCTGAAAGCTGGAAAAGCAGCTGGACCAGATGGAATACCCCCGGAAGCACTGAAAGCGGACCCAGAAACGACGGCAGATATGCTGACTCCATTATTGCAAAAGATCTGGAAAGAGGGAAAGGTGCTTACTGACTGGAGGAAAGGTTACCTTGTGAAACTACCAAAGAAGGGCGACCTGGGACTCTGCAAGAACTGGCCAGGAATCATGCTCCTGTCGACGCCAAGTAAAATCCTGAGTCGCATCATCCTGGAGAGAATCAAGGACGCATTGGATACAGAATTCCGCCAACCAGAACAAGCTGGGTTCAGGAAAGGCAAATCATGTTCTGACCAAATCGCAACTCTACGCATCATCATCGAACAAAGCATGGAATGGCAATCAAATCTCTACCTCAAATTTATAGACTTTGAGAATGCTTTCGACAGCGTTGAGCGTGAAGTGATTTGGAAACTACTCGAGTACTACGGCGTACCCCAAATATTCATCAACCTTATTCAACAGCTCTACGACAACGGCACATGTCAAGTGATCCACAACGGAAAACTCAGCGAAGCGTTTGGAGTAAACACAGGAGTCAGACAAGGGTGCTTATTATCACCAATGATATTCCTAATTGTGGTGGACTGGATTACGCGTCAGACAGTGTGAAACGAGAAGACAGGGATATCCTCGACCGATATGAAGAGCCTAGAAGACCTGGATTTTGCGGATGATTTATGTTTGATGTCACACAAAATCGAAGACTTACAAGCGAAAACCGACAAACTGGTCGAAGAAGCAGCAAAGACAGGACTCCAGGTGAACATAGACAAGACGGAGGTTATGAAAATAACCAACTACAACAACAGCAGCAGCAACATCCAGCGCCAATCACCATCAACGGGAGGGATTTGAAAGAGGTTACTTCATTCACTTATCTAGGAATCATTGTCTCAACTACAGAAGGAACGGACGAGGATGTCAAATCGAGAATCGAGAAGGCGAGAAACACATTCATCAACCTGAAACCAATCTCGAAATCTTCGTCACTCACTCAGCATCAACAACAAAATGATTCGGATTTTCAATACAAACGTCATGTCAGTCAGTTCTTCTTTACGGATCAGAAACTTGGCCAGTGTGTCACAGAGAATATTTCCAACCGCCTGTTGCAGACCTTTATCAACAACTGTCTTCGCTGGCTCTATACTGAAGATCAGATGGCCGTTGGAAAGAATCACCAACAAGAAACTATGGGAACAAACAAAACAAGAACCAATCGCTAAAAAAAAATGCAGGAGAAAGTGGAGATGGATTGGGCACTCGCTGAGGAGGCCACTGGGTGACATCGCTCGTCAGGCCAATGCTCGAGTGGAACCCGAAAGGGAAGCAGCGAGTGGGACGTCCAAGGGTGACATGGAGGAGATCGTGTGAAGAAGAGTTGAAACAGTATGGACTAACATGGATGCAGATGAAAAGTACAGCAGAAGACAGAAACAAGTGGAGATGCGCAGTTGAAACCCTATGTTCCACTGGGATCCCAAGGGAACAATAATAATAATGATAATAACAGGAGCGCGTGACCACTGCACTCGATTCTCCAAAATCACTTCAAGCTTTCAGAAGTAAATTGGTGAGTAGTGACTGGCAGTGGAATCCAGGATGCACATTTCGTCCTATTTGAGATTTTTCAGCTGGACTTACCTGCATTCCCAATGAGTGATGATGTTCCCACCATTTAGGACGAAATGCGCATTCTGGATTCCACTGCTAGTCACCATCCATCCAAGGACTTCTAATTACATGCCCAGACATCGTCGAAGCATCCGCACAAGAAGCTGACATGTCAACCTGCGAGCGAGTGCCTTGGTTCAATCAATCGATAGGAAAATCCATAATTGAATTAAATAAATTCAGGCTTTCATTCCTGTTATTTGTTATCTTCTCCGTGTATATCTCAGACCCACTCCCACGTTATTCAACTTCCAGTGAATGAACTCATATATGATGTCACTTGGTTGAACACTCTTTCAACACACGTTCCAAAATACTGTGATGTGTATTAAATGCATAAATTTTTAAGTTTAGCGAATTTATAATATAAATATCTCTATTAGCCTTTTGATTTATTTTTATTATTTATTATTACTACTTTAATTGTTGTCAGTAGTTTAAATTGTTACACTAAATGAATTTCAACCTTTGGGTTTTCAATTTTCCAGATAATTACAATTGCGATGGGTGTTATGGTTCTCAGTATTCCCCCACATCAAAAGCCGAAAAAGTTGTCAGAAGAATATCAATAAAAGCATTATTATTTCACAGTCTATGCATATGGTGAAAATACTTCCTACAGAAATCGCTTTAAGAGATTTGTTTGACAATCAGTTCTATCTACTTTGTACAAGTACAGATATCTGTCTCTGGACACTTCAGTGTCAGGAAAATTATTCAGCAAATTCATCGGATCATTCTCAAAGTTCAGCAGCTCTTCTTTTGCCTTCACTGAAGAATAAAGACCAGATGAAATACATTTTTTTCATTTTCCATCACCAAAATCTTATTGTTGAAAACATTTTTGTTATTTGGGATAAAAATTGAGATTTAATTTTGAATTCGTATTAATTCTCTTCATATAGTGCATTCCTCAAACTCTTTGGTTGTTCAAGAAAATATAGGATTACTAAAGTTTGTTCAAGTTATTTTGCACTTGAGTTTGACTGATAATTGAGTGTTTTGGACTGTAATGCTCAGTCGCTGTTCACATGACGTCAGCTTCTAGTGGAGACGCTTCGCAAGTACCGATTGGATAAATGTCATGCGACTAGGTTGATGTTTGCTACCATTATAATCCATTCGTGCTTGGGAGTAGTCACCTGGTTCTTGTGACTCGGTATTCTAGTAGAAATCATTTTTCGGGTTTGGAACAATTGGTGTCGGTTTCAATTCTCAGCAGAGGAACCTGTATGTGCAGTGTCCTTTTGAAGATTATTTAATAAGGTGAAAGAATGTCTTGACATTTATGAACGATTGATTCGATAGTAAATAATGGCGGGTGATCTCACGAATCTGCTCCCGGTTTCCACACATGTCAAAAGTGACCTAGTTCATTTACCTAAGTGTTGTGATACAAGCAGTGATGTTTACGTAACACCAGTGTTCGTGTAGCATTTCTTCTGAGCATAAAGTCTTCTGTAGCCGCTTCTAGTCCTACCGGAATAGATACAAGGAGATAGTTGTATATAGAGAGGATGCTCAGGGTCTGATGGTATTAATGAGTTGGTTAAGCGACACCTCACTTGTCCTACTGACACCATTTTGGTGCTTTTCTCAATGTATCTGTGGCGAGAGCTGTCTGCTAGCCAAAAATGGTATACAGCGATTTATGTCAATGTTTACGTCTCAAATTTTGATCATGTGAACAAACTAACAACAAAGACTAACTCAACAACCAATCACAGCAGACTTGACGTGTGCAAATATGATTCGCAGATATATGGCAACAGAGAGGAAATAGAATAACCTTCAGCGGGAAAACAACCAGTCAGAAGACGTTGCTTCTATGCTGACAATAACGAATAGTAATGTACATACAGATCTATAGATACCTGTTGATTTTCTCAATAAATAATCTGTTGACTGGCCCTTGTCTTCTGTCTTTAAAAATCAAAGTCTTTCTTAATTAACCTAGGAAGCATTAAGTGGGAGCGATAAATGAGAATAGAAGAACTGAATACAAGAATTTTAAAAAGATGTAAAAGTAGAGAGTGAGTGATATCAGAATGTCTTCACTTCCTCACACAGGACGTTTTAGCAGATATCCTCCTAGAAATTAACATGATGTGGAAAGACCAGTCGAGATCAGAGGAAATGCGTAATCTAAGGTATTTAACAGTCGACTTTTGATTACAGCTTGATGCCACACCATATTTTCAGTACAAGTATGGAATTTTCAGCATGTGATATCGGTAGCCCAAATTTTGCAGGCCAACCATAGATACCGGGTGTGCGTCGGCAAGGGATCGAACCCCGGACCATGTGCATGGTCGGCGAGAGTCCTAACCACTGTGCCACCGACGCACTTTTATAAAGGAAGGACCGTGAGACCTCCCCACTGACAAAAACTACACGTCTGAGCACACCCGATTAGGGTCCGTCGCGAGTTTCAACCCACCGAGGTGCAATGGTGAGTCCCTACCCGGCATCAAAACATTCTTGATCACCCTGAACCCGGAAATGTCATTTAGTAATTAATACTGCGCCAGTGATATTATTTGTTTGTGACCCAAGGGCTTCACCTTTGAGCGTTATAATTTCAGTAGCAGTGGTGTTCAATTTTACGAGATAAGGTTGTGATATAGACAGACCTAATTGCTTACATGTCACTTTTATATGTGTGTCTGTATTTCTCTCACCTCACTTATTGATTTATGACCGAACTTTCTCTCACCCTTCTTATAACCTTTGGAATCTTACTGGCTATTCACTGTCCTAATTTCTCAATGATATTAGTGCTTCTGAAGGTCATTTCAATCATATATATATACGCAAGCTCTGTAAACCTTTTTTGACTGCTGTTTTAAGACAGTAAAAGCTCTCTTACCAACGCACAGTCTTCTCTTATGTCTTTTTGCATCGCGGCGGTATTATGAATTATGCTGTTGGTGGTGCTGTTGATGTGCGATTAGGACAGATTAACCTGCGCACTATAGTTAGTATAAGCTTATGCTCTACTACGTCATACTTCAGGACATAACAGGTTGCTAGCTTCACAATCAACCTTGTCACTTCACCCTGTTTATTTTCGGCTCAGAGAGGTTCAAAGGAATAGAACCCCACCCAAACCACGTGAGCCGTGCTTAGATGATTGTTCTACCGGTGAATCACAGACACAGAAAATCGCTTACACTAAACCTCATTAAACAGAAAAATAATAAACAATACGAAAGATAAATAACACGATTCCATTGAATAAATTAAATATATTCGGTGGTTTTTGAATACAATGAGAATCGAAATAAATGAAGAAGATATCGTGAAATAAAAGAGATGACGATGTATTTGTAAGTGCACATCACTAAGCTTATAAAAGTGATGCCGATATTACAAAAAAGCAGTTTTCGTGTTTGTGTGTTTGTGTGTGTGTGCAGGCGCTCTTATTTAGAACAAAAATTTCAAGTTTGTCTAAGTTTGACATTGTTAATTGATTCAAAATAAATACACATTTTTGTGTGTATGAGATGGAACATTTATCTTAATTTTTTATTAATAATTCCTCATATTTCTTTTTGTCTCCCTCCATCCTTCAATTCTGTTTCTGTCTTCCGCCAACGAAAAAATATTGATCTTGAAAGGTTTATTATATTACTGGCAACCTCTTTGGTTTAAGTAGTATGAATAGGCACAAGACTATTAATGCAATCTGTTAAGAGAGAATTAAAACAAAGGGTATATATATGTATCATAATAATATTAATGAATAACATGGAGGATTTCGTCATGAGCTGACATCAGTTAGAGAACCACTGGTAAACCTGGGAGTACTGGACAGCTGTTTCGTTAGCCTAGTTTGGGACTCTTCATCACTACGCACCCACCGGAGTTTGAACCCATGACCTTCCGGTTACAAGACGAGCTCGCAGACCATTGAGCCACTGGGACGCGATCCAATGACCAGTCCATGAATTCTTACTTCTGCCAATTCGCGACATAGCGAGACCATTTAGCAATGCCTTCTTCGATGAGTTATTGCCATTGGATCAGATCCCAGTGGCTAAATGGTGTACGAGCTCGCCTTGTAACCGGAAGGTCCTGGGTTTGAACCCCGGTGGGTGCGTACTGATGGAGAGTCCCAAACTAGGACGAAACATCTGTCCAGTACTCCCAGGTGGTTTTCCAGTGGTTATCTAACTGATGACAGCTCATGATGAAATCCTCCGTGCAATCAAATAAAAATCCCGGCAAAACCAATACTTCAAAATTAATGAATAAAACCAAAACGAATAAAACTACACAGTATTGATCGACTGATTGAGATGAGTAGTAATATAGAATTCATATCAATTAGTAGAATGTGCTATGCCAGCAAAAAACAAGGTGTCCTGACCACATGACAGTCGTTTGGCTGGTTTGCCACCGATCTCAACAGAGGTAAGATCAGTTAGACTCTCTGCTTAGAGAGGTGAATCGCTCGAAACCATCAAATTTCTGACTAGCTACTTTGGCTAAATGGGAACACTATAGGAGAAGTTCTCAATTTGCAAATGGATCTTTAATTTAAACATTTTGGGGAGGTAAAATTTCATTAGAAGTTCTCATGAAAACTGAAATTATTTAGATCACAGTACATTACCTACGTAATAACTTTAATGGTGAAGAAGATAACAAGGGGTTATCCTGAAATCAACTGGTATAACCAGATAAAGTCATGATGAGCTTGGCCTTAAACCAGTGAAATAACCGTTTAGTGCTTAGATCAACTTGATCTGACTGACTAGACAGAAAGCCACTCATATCAAACTATCTATCAATAATAGTGCATAGTTCTATGCATTTATGGTTCGTTTCTTGATCACCATTTAAAGTGTCGAAATAGATCACACATTTAAATCTGAATAATTTCGGTAACCAAAGAAAACTGTGGCAAAATATCACCTATTCGAAGTGTGTCAATTCTAAATTAACTCGGCAAATTAGAATGTCCAGTAATATGTCAGTTATTGTCATTATTGTTCTTTTGGGTTCCGAGTGGAACATTAAGTTCCAACAACACAACCCCACTTTCTTCTATTCACTGCTGTCCTTTTCAGCTAGCTGACCACACGATTTCCCATAATCTGTCATCTCCTCCTACCTCCGCGTAACACACACACACACACGGCCTCCTCCATGTCAACCTATCACCAGCGACCCACTCGTCGCGACCGGCGGCCTCTTCAGTATGTGCTCGATCATTCAATCTCCAGTTTCTCCTACATATTTGCAGAGCAGTCAGCTCTTGCTTGTTCGCTCTTCACATACCAGAGTTTCTTCTTGCTGCAACTTTCCAATGGCCGGCTGGTAGACTGGTCATTTGATCTACAGTATGGAACAAGCCAGCCAGTGAAATGGACAGCTGTCTACAAAAGTCTGCAGTGACTCGTTCCAAATAATTTCCGTGACCCACACCCATTGCAGTGAAAGTTTGTGATCAGTATAGAAGAACTGAGTGACTGACTGCTAGGCTGGATGACTTCACATTTGTGTTGAGCAGAATTAGAATCTTGTTCTTGATGCTGAAGTGGAGTACAGAATATTTCCAAGCTGA